TGGGCAGTGTCCCCAGGGGTGCACCTGCTCCCCCCATTTCCAACACGGGTCCTGTGAGAACAGGAACCTGCAGGAGATCCCCCAGGGCTTCCCAGGGAACACCCACCTCCTTGACCTGCACCGAAATGCCTTTGGGACTGTGCCACCAGGCGCCTTCCCCGGCCTGAAGGAGCTGGTGTCCCTCCACCTGCAGAGCTGTGGCATCGGGGTGCTGCGCCCCGGGGCGCTGCGGGGCCTGGAGAGCCTGGTCTACCTCTACCTCACCAACAACCACCTCTCCACCTTGGCAGCCACCGCCTTCGAGGGGGCCCCGCGGTTGGCCTACCTCGACCTGGACCGCAACGCCTTCACCCATGTTCCCGGGGGTGCCTTCCAGCGCCTGCCCAACCTCATCTCCCTCCACCTGCAGCACAACGCCATCGGGGAGCTGAGGGAGGGCGACCTGGCTGGGGCCAGGGCACTGCGCTGGCTCTACCTCGCTGGGAACGCCATCAGGCGCATCATCCCTGCTGCCCTGGCTCCTGCCAAGCTGCTGGAGAAACTGGACCTAGGGGGAAACCGCCTGGCAGAGGTGCCCACAGCAGCCCTGCGGGGGCTGCCCACCCTCAGCGAGCTGAAGCTGTCCCGAAACCCCATCAAGCACATGGAGGATGGTGCCTTCCTGCCGGTGGCCTCCAGCCTGCAGCACCTCTACCTGGACAACATGGGCCTGGAGTGGGTGTGTGTGGCTGGGGACCCCCTGAGGGGCAGGGACACTGCAGGGCACAGCCATAAGTCCCATCTTGTTCCAGCGTTCAAGGCTGGTGGTCCCTGTATGAACAGCTTAATGGATGTCTCCAAACTCCAAGGCTTCAGGAGATGCTTCATAGCTGGGCTGGGAGGAGAGGCTTCCTCAGGTTCTGCCAGAGCCTTGTCTTGCTCTGACCTGTTCCCCAGCTGCCCTAGGACAGCCTTCAGTCCTTAAAGACATCCAGTTTCAGATGGGGTCCAGACCATTCCCCAAACCACCCCCTTTCCCCAGCTCTGGCCATATTTCTCCTGCTCTTAATACGAGCTGTCCTGCGGCACTTTTCACTGCTCTTACCCTGAATTCCTCCATCCTCTGAAGAAATGAGCGTCGGCATCACTCTTGTAAGGCCCATCCACCTTTAACAGCACCCAGGGATCGCTCTAAGGCTGCCTGTGTGCCACCTTCATTCCAGAAAGACTGAGTCTAGTGACTCCCAAAAGACGACCAAGACTGGTTAATTCACAGTCCCTGAGCACATGTGCTGCTGTTTGGAACAGCTCTTCCACAGGGCTGCCAGGCTCAGGACAGGCTGTCTCAGATCCCACCTCCCATCCCCAGGCAGTGCAGGGGCAGAGATTTGCTCCCCCCACCTCCATCAAGACACCCCCACCTCAACTCACCCTTGCTTCGTTGCAGATGTCCCCTGGTGCCTTTGCTGGCCTCGGTCCCAAGATCAGAAGCCTCTACCTGGAGAGCAACAGAATGAGCAACATCCCCAGCATGAGCAACTTCACGGGGTTGGAGATCCTCAACCTGAGGGACGTGCCCTTCCACTGCGACTGCCAGCTCCTGCCCCTGCGCAGGTGAGTGGGGGCCACGATGGGGGCACAGCCCTGGGAGATAACACAGGGAACGGACGGGTCCTGTCACGCCAGAGGCACAAGCCCATGGCACACTGGCCGTTTTGGGTCTCCTCCCACTGCATGCTGGCCATTTCGTGTCGTCTCCCACGGTGGTGAGATGGAGCACGCACCTGTGTGCAAGGATGGAGGTATCCTGGGTGTA